CATTTTCAATTTTTAAAATCATTTATTTTTAATGTAAGAAAAATGCCCATTAATCTTGGTCTCATGACTGTTTTCATGACATTAAAGTACACCATCAAGATTTGGTGGCATAATCAAGAATATTGTTGGGATAATGAAAAGGAACTTTGGGAGCTATATGTAGTCTTGATGCTGCAAGTTGTGTACCCCTCTTGTAGAAGAACAGATTTTAACACACACTCTCTGTTTAAAAAACATGAATATGTGTTCAGCCAACCCCACCAACATATCTGTTTTCATGCTTTGCAAAATCTGTCTTTGCTTTGGCAACGCTGAGAAACCCCAGTATCTCAAGCTACATTAAAGGCCACGGGGAATTCACAAGCATTTCTGCCAATATTTGCTTCAGCAAGCAATCATTTCAGGGACTTACATTTTCAGCCATTTGCATGGTGTTATTGTGAAGATCTCTCTCTTTTCACTGTCAGAGGGAAATTCTTGGAGTCTGTGTGTTTTTTTCCCTCATGTGCTATATTTCACTTCTTATTTCATACTTCCTTCTGCAAAATATATTCCATCAGACATGGAACTTGCAATTGGTGCTTAGTACGCTCCTTCTTAAAAGGGAGTGACTTCCACTGTTCTCAAATTCTCATTAATATTTGTAATAGAGTAATATTTATTTCTTTGGGAGAAAAATTCAAGCTGGAACCCAGTAAACATATCTTTGTACATAAGCTTGTTGAATACAAATTAGTATTTATTAGTTTGTATTAGTAAAATAGCTGGCAAATCCACATCTTTTCTCCTAGGTAAAGAATTAACAACACAGCCGTATGTACTTACTTCCAAATATGTTCCATGAGATTTATTCTAATGCATGATATGATTTCAGTCTGAGTTTGCCTCCCTGGGTTCTCCCATTTTATTATACAGAGATAATAACAATCTTAATTGTAGAGGTGTTGCAAATTTATGTATTCCTTTCTTTTCCCCTTGAGTAACGGAAGGTACGGTTTATCCTAAAAAGCCTTCGGTGGCTGTAACCGGACAAGATCAATACATCAACAGACGGAAGAGAAACACAAACTCAGGTCTTGGGATAGCTGTCTCCGCTACTGAGCATGCGCGAACGAATTGACTCCAACGCTCAGACTGCCTGTCGCAGATTTCGTTTCGTTTCGTTTCGTTTCGTTTTCTAAGCGCCAGCGGAACCAAAGTTCTGGAGCGAGCAGGGCAAGTCGGACCAGTTACGGGCAAGGATTGGTGGCGCCCCGACTAGGAGATCGTTTCCTGGGTCTCACCTGTCGGCCGTTTGGTTCGCTCGTCTTTTTGTTTTCTTCTCGACTATGCAGCCTTACATGGTAAACATAAAACTTTCGGCTCGGACCCTCACCGGGGCACTTAACCCTCAGAATAGAGGGGCGGCAGACTGGTAAGTAGAAAAAATAGGGGGCGGTGGAGGAAAGTTATTTTATGGTAGCATGTGGAAGACTGTGAACGAGATAGAAGATGATGCTTTGGAGAGATTATGAGTTATCATCACCATCGTCGAAGTTTAGTGGGATGTACTTCCAAGGGCGTGCCTGTGTTCAGAGGTTATTGTAACTAATATAGTGGAGACATGAAGTGTTGGAAATGTAACCAAGATATTGAGTATTACGGTTACTGTATGAGGGCGATTTTTTTTAAGATAGAAGGAAGAGAGCCTGTTATGTTATGATTTCATAAGCCTGTTTGAGGCTTTCGTGTCAGACATATGCTTATGCAACACAGCATAAATGTTTGTACTAAGATATGAGGAGACAGAGTGGGGAACACCATAGACGTGGACATTAGTGCTATAGAAGCTTTCCAGTTGTAGGAAGAAGAAACTGAAAACAGGAAGTACAATGTATCTAAGCTGGAGTGAAAACTGAGGGAAGTGAAGTTTGGAAGGGTAGTTGAGAGATCCAAATATAATGGAAGGTAATATTGCCTCCCACCATAGTTTTGTTATTTGCACTATCATATAGTTGCTTTCTGGTGAAAATTAAAAAAAAGGGGGGGGGGCTATGTGAACATTTCATTTCATTTTTGTCTCATACTTTTATATCACAGCCTAATAATGAAACCATGATATGGGCTTGAAGTTCTTGGTGAAAGCTAGTATTATGTAAAATGGATATGATGATGCACAGTTTTTAACTTACTCATTTACAATATTTTATATTATCCCAAACCCAGACTTTGGGTATTGCACAATAAGGGATAAGAACAAAACAAAACAAAATAAACAACAAAAACAACAACAAAACCCCACATAATAGGTTTGTTGTTAATTCTGATGAACAAATATAAATGCTTCAAGCATTTGCATGCTATACACATATGTATATGTTATGGTCCTTTTTTGGTATGCTTCACATATGAGCCTGCAGTTGCTCCAGAATTTAAGATACTTAAAAAAAAAAAAAACCCGTAGCTTTGAATAAGAACAACTGTACCTTTAAATTTATAAGTCCTGCAATTAAAAGTGAAAGAGATAAGGAGGCTTTTGGATAGGATATTGCAACAACTGGTTTGGGGACTCTGAAATAATTGGGAACAATACGTTTTATATGACCTGTTATGAAATTTAGTAAAGATGGTAAATAGAGGTATAGCTGTAAACCTTTGGTTAGTTTTAAGTATAATGAAATTTAGTAAGATGCTGGAGAAGGAAGGGATTCAGATCAGTTACCATGAAGCAAATGGCATAAGATTATTATTACTGCAATAATGAGAAGAATGATGGAGTTTCCTGTTGATGAATAAGAACTATGGTTAATATCCTTTCCAGTGATATAGTCATTTTACTAAGAGGTTTTCTGGGCTGGAAAATATTTATTTTGAAGTTAGAGTTATTCAAGAACTAAATGACTAATGATTCAACGTTTTAATAACAAATAAGTACATTTCTTTTCTTTGTCTTCTCTATCATTTCAGCAGCATAAATTTCTATAAACATTCATCAGAATGATTGTTTTGTGTCTGATATTGCAATTACTATTTTTGTAGGGGCTGGCAAGGACTGATTGCATATGGATGCCATTCTCTCATTCTGGTGATTGACTCCAAAACAGCTCAGACCTTACAGGTTTTGGAAAAGCACAAGGCTACTGTAGTCAAGGTACATCGAAAAGAATCATTAGAATGCTGCAAAAGAAGTGTTCTTATACCAGTGAAATAAGCTAAGATTCCTCATGAAACAAAATGCCACAAATGTGTTAAGGTCCCACAAATGTATGATGTTTAAACCACACTTGCCTTTTACTATTTAACAAGTGGCCTATTATAAATTGTATCCTGCAACTTGACTTCTTTAGAGGAGTATTCTTGATTCTAGTCAGCCATTCTCTTCAAGCATGATATTTCATTTCTACTCTTTAGATTTCTGTTTTCCAACAGATAAACATTATGTAGCTGTACAACATATCTAACCCTCTGTGGACTATTTGGCAATGGGCAAAGGAGAAAATTGTATTGCACTTCTGCAAAGCTTGATATTTCTCTTGGTATACTAGTATATCTAAATTCTTTTAAAAATTCCATTTCAGCAGGCACAGGTCTTCTGAGTTGAGGAACTGATATAGACCAGATTTGTGGCTAGTTAATTTTTTAAGACAGCTACATTTTTTCTGTTACAGCTACTTTATTTTTCAATTTGCTTATTACATGTTCTGCATTACTGATCTATAAATGTCATATACCAGTCTATTTCAATTTCTAATGAATTTCATTATCTGACATCCAAAAACTGTTTAATACTTCTAAGTGTTTTAAGTGACTACTAGCTTCACTTACCTGTCTTAAGGTTAAATGGGCTAAGGAAAACTACCATCACAACATTGGATCACCTTATTCTTTGCGTTTGGCTACTGCTGATGCTGCTGGAAAGATAATTGTTTGGGATGTAGCTACAGGAACTGCTCGCTGTGAAATCCAAGAGCATACAAAACCAATTCAAGGTAAGAAAACTTGCATATTGCATCATGTTCAAGTAATAAATAATTGTACTAGTTAGAAGAATAAATAGTGCTAAATAATTGATTTTTAGACTCTTGTTTTCTTCAAAATAATGTTTATACATGCAAATTCTTTCTAGCATAGGAAATATACTTGGTATAATTGCCCTGTTTTGAATGTTTAATTTTTGTTGTTCTAGAAACTTAAAAAAAATTTAAATCCATTCATGCATCATACTTTTTTGTGGTTTTATTTCATACTGTGAAAAGTTTTTAAAACTTTATATAAAATATAGTTGGAAGATAATTATCTTCACAGCAAACAGTATCTTATTGAAGTTGCAATCTTGAGCACTGTCAGTAAGACCCACTGAAATCAACAGGATTTACTTCTGAACTTGTAAGCATAATTTTAAAATTATAAAACATACTGGAAATGTGTATAGAAATAAATGCTAGTTTATAAGAAGTGCTTACATAATTACTAGATTGTGGTCAAGCTTATGAGTGTATCTTGAACTTGTCACCTCTATACTTAATCATTTATCTCCTTCCAATATTACTCTTGGCTGTGTTTCCATAGTTTCTGTTAAGGTCTCAAATAATTCAAATTCCGGGGACAGTATAATATATGTAAGCTATCATGTCTTTGTATTGTCGAAGGCTTTCACGGCCGGAATACAATGGCTGGTGTGGGTCTTCCGGGCT